TTGGCACCCGTGCATTTCTACGCGCTTACTGTAACACTACGTTATAACTGTATTGGAAAAGTAATTATGATATAGCTTATAGATTCAGAGAGAACTACTTTGTTAGAACTTATTACTTTACGTTATTTTTGATGAGAATAAGGAAGAAAAATATGAGTGATTATGCGTATATTTTGAGTTATTTACATATGATAAAAGAAGAAACTTCTAAAGGAATTTTGGAGATATTATAGTTTTGTAATAGAATAGGGTGCAAAAGATGTTTATAACGATTGCTTGTGTGATTTTCAACCTCAAATTAAGTTAAAAAAAGCCAAGTTGAAAGATTATAATAAATAAAGGAATAATTAAAGAATATTTTTATTAAATTTATTCAAAAGAATAAAAAGGTTAAAATCTTGTCGAAAAATTTAATTCAAAATATCTACAAATTTTTGTCATTAATCATCAAAGGGGAATCGCCAGCAATCGTTCAAGACGAATCGGTATTAATCGTCGAAGAGAAACCGCCATTAATCGTCAAAGAGGAATGGTTATTAAATAAAAAGAACATAAACCATTTTTTTCCTTGAAAAAAAATTGAATTTTAATGAAATTAATAGCACTATACTAGATCAGAAATATTAAATATTAACAAGAATTTTTTTCATATAGTTAAAAAAATACACAAATAGTTTGCTGAATTTTTTTATAAATATTTTTTCTGAATGTGATATTTATTATTTATAAAGATATGCGTTTGAGAGGTTCAATAATTGATGTCGTTTGACTTCGTATTGGAGAGAAGGAGTGATAGGCTTTTTTTTAAATGTGATATTGACTATTGATATATATGCGTTTGAGAGGTTTAATAATTGATATCGTTTGACTTTGTAGTGGATAGAAAGAGTGATTTTTTAAAATGTGATATTTATTATTGATAAAGATATGCGTTTGAGAAGTTTAATAATTGATATCGTTTGACTTCGTAGTGGAGAGTAAAGAGTGATAGATATCTTTTTAATGTGATATTTATTATTGATAAAGATATGCGTTTGAGAGGTTTAATAATTGATATCGTTTGACTTTGTAATGGAGATAAAGAGTGATTTTTTTAAAATATGATTTTTATTATTGATAAAGATATGCGTTTGAGAGGTTTAATAATTGATATCGTTTGACTTCGTAATGGAGAGAAAGAGTGATATATTTTTTTAAAATGAGATATTTATTCTTGATAAAAATATGCGTTTGAGAGGTTTAATAATTGATATCGTTTGACTTTGTAATGGAGAGAAAGAGTGTTTGGCCGATAGCTTGCGGGTGTATATAAAATCAAACGTGGACTGTAAACTATTTATTTTGCGGGTGCGCTGGTAGCGCTGCGGAGCGTGTATGCTCTTTTGTTGTTTCACATCAACTGGCTCTTGGCTGATAACAATGACGCCAAGAAGCCAACGGGCGTAGCAACATACCGGCTTCAACAAAGAGTAATCTATTTTTTTGAAATGAGATATTTATTATTGATAAAAATATGCGTTTGAGAGGTTAATAATTGATATCGTTTGACTTTGTAGTGGAGAGAAAGAGTAATTTTTTTTAAATGTGATATTTATTATTGATAAAGATATACGTTTGAGAGGTTTAATAATTGATATCGTTTGATTTCGTAGTGGAGAGGAAAGAGTGACATATATTTTTTAAATGTGATATTTATTATTGATAAAGATATGCATTTGCGAAGTTTAATAATTGATATCGTTTGACTTCGTAGTGGATAGGAAAGAGTGATATGTATTTTTGTAATGTGATATTTATTACTGATAAAGATATGCGTTTGAGAGGTTTAATAATTGATATCGTTTGGCATCGTAGTGGAGAGGAAGAGTGCAAAGATTAGCGACACGAGAGCTCAATATATGTGAGACACATAAGAAGAAAACATCCATAGTCCATTTGCATGGTTAACTTGGAACTATCCCATAATTCCTTTATGACAGAGGATATATTTTATTACACATGGAGGAGGGGTTTCATAAGTGATGTAAGGCAACAGTTGCCAATTTTTTTCGGATGTGGGAACCCAAAATGGTGGTTTGGTGGAAATCCAAATTTATAAATAAAATTAGTAGCCGTGAATTATTAACCAAAGAAAGATTATTTTTTTTTGATAATATTTAATAGGAAGAATAAAAAATTTTCAGTAATCGTTTTATCGATAACAGTCGTAAAATTATAGATTTTATGTCAAACAGTTGAATTCGAAGGAATGGAGTGGCATCTAGTCTAGTTCCGAGTTCGTTTTTGGTATATGCACAAGCTGAAAATGAATAAAGTAAGCTGAAATATAGTTTTGACAACAAAACAAAAACTCTTATAACCGCCGACAATGGTTATTAGACAAATATAATTCTTTGTTCTAGGATGTGATCATTTTGCTTTGAATTGAAATGTTCGAAGAGAAATAATGACTGAATTTTTTTTAATACAAAGGCATTATCATTTTCATTATTTATTCAGTTCAAGGTAATTAGAAGAAATATTTTTTACGAATTTTTTTAATTTCTTTTTTTATTGGTATTTTACTTAAATAATTTCATAAAAATAATCAGAAAATCAAATGAATGATGGTTTATTATTTGGACACAAATGTAGCGACAGGTTTCGAAGATTATTGTTGGTACAAGAAATTTAAACTCTCGGAATCCCTGTGAGATTTCTATGAAACCCTAGTGTTCCGCTGAACACTTTTCGGGAACCACTGATTTAGAAGATATTGTAGATGATATCTTTTAAAAAACATGTGGAGAGACAAGTAGAAGAAAAGGGAGGGATTTAAAGTTACATCATTTGGAAGTTATAATTAATAGAAATTAATTAGGAAGTTATCTCTATTAATCAGGAAGTTTTAATTAATAGAGATAAAGATTACGTTATTTGTGTTCCGCATAAGAGGAACACACGTAATCCTTACTGGATTATACTATGATTCATTAATCAAAGAGGATACGTTTTACTAGATAATTGCTATGGTAAATGAGCTGATTTTGCAATAATCAGTAAAATATCATTTACTATATTTTGTGTTAGATAATTTTTAAGAAATGTCTAAAGAGTTATTTTGCTCAAATACTTTAAACAAACTCATTACGGATATTTATGTAACTTTTTTCAATTAACAACTTAGGGAAACAGGAAAAAAAATGTATTCTGTTTAAGTTATTTTTAAAAAATTTTAATTTGTAAGTAAATTTCGTATTTGCATTAGGAAATTAAATAACTAAAATTCAATCATGAACAAATGGAGTGCAAAGGTCAAGGTTATTCCATATCGAGATTGCCAGCTGGTCTTTTCTTTAGCCTCTGGAAAAATAAATGATGCGGTTGCCGTAGCAACCGAACCACGTTGAAATTGCATCTCTCGTTCTAACCTTCTCCAAGGAAAAGGCGTTTGGCCGACTCAGATTACGCTCTCTGCCTAAGCTACGGATTTGGCACATATTTTGACATTTAACAATGAAATATACTAGTACCTGTTTGCCACTTCTTTGTGGAATTTTTGGGCGTGTCGTTTTTCACCTTTATTCGTTTCCTAGATTATTTGTAAGCATTTTTGAACATGATCATATTGCTCGACATTGAAAGTACATAAATTATTCAAAAATATATAACATTGTATATTTAAAAATTCTTTTTGAGTTTAAAAATATGGGCAGTATCGAAGTTGTGGTAAATAATAGAAGAGGAAGATATTATAGAACATGCAAATATCTAGTAGCAAGAATATTATTAATTGTTGAAAATTAAAACGTAAATAGGTATCTAACAGCCAGTTTATTTTAATTTCGTGAGGGCTTAGATTTTATGAAACTCAAAATGATGTTTGATGTAGATAATGTACTCATCTTATGCCATTTTATCACAATCCATTACCATTAATCTAGCCGTTAGGGGATTTTGGCCGAATTAGTAATAGAGGAACGTTATCAACCAATATTGCACCTAAATAAACCCTACGTAGAATTGTTTAATTCATTCCGTATAGTATAGTCATTGTTCAGCCTTACTGATCTGCTTTATGCAGTCTATATATATATTAGTCACTATACAGCCTATATAGGAATTAAATATAATTGTCTAAGCCTCTAGATCTATTGAGACGAAATTTAGACGTCCCAATCTTAGTTCATTAATAAATGTTCATATAGGTCGAGTCAATTATAAGCTCTGCAGGGGTCAAGATAGAGTTTTTGCCAGGAAATATTGTAAGAAATTTGTCGACTTGCGTATAAGTTAACATATAAGTACTCGCATAAGTTGCGCAGAGGAAGTCTTTATGTTTGGTAAAATCTTTTTATTTCTGATCGCCGTGTATACCCTCCAACTTTTGAGTTTTGTGCGAAATATAATTATCAATGATAGTGAACTATGACCAAAATTTTTATAGCAAGCAGAATTGGGTACCTGAAACTCGTGATGAAGAAGACTGCTGGAATCAGATAGTTGTATGTAAATAAGATGGTGTGATAACGTTATAGCTATTAAGCTTGTTTCATAACCACGGTGAATCAATTTTCGGATCAGATTTAAGTGGATACCTGCAAGCGTTATCACGCACGGGTGTCGAACCTGGTTGTCAGCTGAATCGTGGCATATACAAATGCCAGGATTCAGCAGCCAATCAAGTTCTACACCCACACAGGACGTCGCTTTCAGGTACCCAGTTCTCATAAAATCTTTCTCAATGCTATAGAGCATGGCCGTTCCTCTATTTGATATTTAATAAAACTGTTTAAATTAGTCATATGATGTGGTGAACAAAATTTCGTTTTATATAATTCAATAAATATTAATATATTACCTTTTTTACCACTAGAAAAAAGATATTTTATGAAACTACTGAAATTCTATTATAGTTAGAACTTACAACTTTGTTTTAAAAAAATTCTTTCGATAATTTTAAAAGATAAAAATTTGCAATTAAGAAAAAAGAAAAATCCTAATGGATTTTGTTGGCTTACCTGTCAAGAGTTAGCTCTTCGAGTTGACTAAGATCACATGCTATAAATTCAAGCGCACCGTCAGACACTCTAGGGCACCAGCTGAGATCCAGAGATCTCAACTGCCTGAGATTTTCTGCCAACATCTCAACTCCATCATCGGAAATCTTAGAGCAACCAGACAGAGATAATTGCACTAAATTGGGCAGGGAGTGCACCAGGTTAAGCAGGCCGTGGTTGGTTAGCTCCCAACAGGAGCGCAACCTCAGAATACAAAGACTGGTTGTTTGCCGAGGACTAAAATAAGACAAAGCCGCATCAGTCACGTGGTATGCCTGTAAGTTCAGTTCATAAAGTGAAGGCAACAGTTGTGTTATAGCAGCGACAGTATCATCAGCAACATTTATACAATCCGCCAAAGTCAGTGACACAATTCGAGGAGTAAGGCTTGCCCAGAGTCCAGCATCAGTGACCTCATTGCAGCCGGAGAGCTCCAGCTGGACAATGGAAGGTAAACCACCAACGAGAATTTCTAAGCCTTTGTCTGTGATACCAGAGCACCGTAGTGCAACATGTCGAACGCGATTGGCCAGGCTGGGTGGGCATTGTGTGATTAACTCGTAAATGTCCTCATCGTTTGCTCCAAAGAGACACACCGAATCAAAGGCTCGTCTGTCGATGCTTTTGTAGATTCCTAGCCGGACAGTCGCAGAGCTGGTCTTTAGTTCTCGATAGTTCAGAACAGGTTGCAATCCGCGCCAGAACTTTGGCTGGTACAGCACTTCTCGCCATGCCGTACAAACCTAAAAATATGGAATATCAGTAGATTAGCTATAATTATATTGTTTTTAATACAAAAGTCTCATCATCAATAACTTACCGCAATGGTTTTAGGTTGAAACAAATATTTGACCAAATAATACTTGACAAATTTTAACAAAACAATGTTTTACTTTATCGAGAATTCGGTAATTAAGAGAAAAATTGGTAATAAAGACGCTTTCTTTCACTATTTATCTATACATAAGAGTACCATTTACAATAATACTTCATTGGTGAAAAATATATTAAAAATTATTTGCTGATTGGGTACTTTCTTTTTTAATAAATACCATATGCATGATATGAGAAGACCACATGTTTTAACACAAAAATAAATCACACAAGAAGACTGAAATTTCACAAAAAAGTTGATAAAATTTTTAAATAATAAAAGTACGACTGAGTTTTAGCATCTTTTGAAATGATTATGAATGACCATGAATTACGACTATTAGGACTTAATTTTAGAGTAAGAATTTTGGGGGTCATGTCATTCTTCCTTCATTCAAGGTGTGGCTATCGTATCCTCAAAGGAAATAATGGTTTAAATAATTTATTTGTGATTTTTTCTAAATTAAATGATAAATTTCGTGGATATATTGAAATAAACAATTCAGTACGGACATTCTAATAGGCATTGGGAAATGGAGTAACATTGCGTCTATGGAATAGCAAACGGATGCATCAGTCGTTTTAACGGTAAGGTAGCAGTACTGGGTGTCATTTAAAAGCGTAGACAGTATAAAAGATTGAAAGGTTATCTTATTGTTTAATTTTTGAATATATATATAGGACTGCTATAATTACAGTGACCCTGTTCAGACCCATCCAGAATTCGTTATGCGTATTGAATTTGGATAAAAATTGGTTTATACGTTATGCAGAGAAAGCGATACAATTAACTTTGGGTAATGGATCTAGTGAGGAGATCTTAAGCTTTTCGTTATGTATAGGATATTTGAGTTGGGTTGTAGTGGAGTTTTGTTTTATCCTGTGAATTTTGGAATGTGGCTTAATTAGTTTATCTAGTGGCGCTATCTATCGCGAGAGATAAGAAATGCAAAACTGTTTTCAGTTAAGAAGCTCTGTGGTGCTGCCATCTATGCGGGAATGAGAGTCTCGTATTGCAATAGTCTAGACTCTAGAGTTGAGTAGTACAGGACACTGGAAACTCCTAATGAGTTAAAGGAATGGAAGAAATATTGTGGTAACACTGGGATTTGAATCCCCGTTCTGGGTAATGAAATTGACAGATTAGATTTCTCGATCATAATATATACCTAGCTGTGAGGAAACTAAGTGGCGTCATAAGGTAGGTTCAGCTGGTGCAGCTAAAATTTTGGTCATTTAACCATATTGGATAAAAACAGTCAATAAGTGATTTTTCTCACACAGTTATCATACTACATTTTAATTATTTTTGGGCTGTTTCAGTTTAATACGGTAATTTAGCGGTTAATTGTTATTTAACTTTTTTTTCCCCCGAGAAATTTTTGTCAGACAGAGTTTCAAACAGTAGTGTCAGAAATTTGTGCTGAGAACAGTGCGTTAGACGAGTATCAAATCAATTTTAAAAATTATGCCTTTCCAACTTTGTATTTATAAATTGAAATAAAAATCAAATAAAAAAATTTTTGAGCAAACAAAATGAAAAACAATGCATGTATTTTTAAAAAAAGTTTCAAGAAAGGTTTTCTGCACCACTTCAAAACTATTTCAACATCTTTTATGATAACTGCATAAAATCAGAAATATTTGAGATTGCTTTAATTTGTCTGTAGGAAATTTACAATATATTTCCATGTATTTTGCTTGTTTTGTCCTTTAAAAATAAAGGAAAAGTTGCGATTTTAATTTTAGAAATGATTTAAAGTTTGTTTAAAAACCAATAAAAAACAGCAAAGTGACTCAAGCATTTTTAGTATTGAAGCATAATAATTTCAATTAGTAGTGGTTAATAAAAGATGTCACAAATGTAGAGTAGTTCAATTCAACACCTCAAAAATTGGGCCCTCATTGGAGATAAAACCAGTTTTTCGATCTTGCAAAAAGTAAAGCTCATTTCCCAACAGCACGAGGTCCACTTTCAATGGATCCCGTCGCCCGTCGATATCCACGGCAACGAGTTGGCTGACACTCTTGCAAAGAAGGGACTAGACCATCTAGTCCTCTCCACCTCAGAGCTTACATACCTTGAACTTTTTGCAAGGCAAAAGGCCCAGAATAAACAAAAGTGGCTGCTTCCACCTATTCACTACTGGTATAAAGCAAAAAGACCAGGACTCTCTCTATCTCTTCCTGGTGACAGGCAAACCAACACCTGCTTATCCCGACTGGCCAGTGGACACCTGAAAAGTCTCACATTTTCTGCAAATCAAAAGATTTTTCCTCTTTGCCCTAAATGCCAACAAAACCAGGCATCACCTGAGCACATCTTGAACTGTTTAGGGCTGGACTGGAACGACATTCATTCCTCTGGTTTCGGATTTTCTTAATATCAACGGATTCATTGATCTGGTCTGACCCCGTCAGACCAGATGGGAATTAGCAACAACAACAACAAATGTAGAAGATAAAAGTTTTTTTAAAATTGCAACAAGGTGTAAGGAAGGGAGTACCAAGAATTGTGCCATCATAAATTTTGATTGAAATTAAAACATCGGATTAATCATCGGATTTAATCATCAGATTAAATAATTTATATAATAAGTTTTCCTATTTGTTCGTATTTTTCATCAAAATAAACATAAATTTAACCATTATTATTTTTAATTGATTTAAAACTTCATTCGCTTCAAATTATATAAATTAGAAAAAAAACAGTCGACATGTTTCAAACGGTCAAAAATTGGCGGCATTTTCAAGATTATCCTGACATGAATGAGAAGAAACAAAAGTGATTTGAAATATGAAACGTAAAGTTGCCAACGAAAAATTGAAAATTAAAGGTGAGAAATAAAACTGGAAAAACCACAATGGCCGAGAGGGGCAAATCAGGATAAAATGCCTTTCCACGCGTTATGGAGAAGTGGGGAGGAACTAATGCCGTTAACAATGCATTTTACATTGATTTGCAACTCTCCGCCGCTGTGGTTTTCCTTGTTCTGTTTTTCATATTTCCCTATTGAGTTTTTCCTAGTTTAGCTTTTCCCCTTTATTTTTCAATTTTTAATTGGCAACTGAACGTTTTATATTTCAAATGATTTTTTCTTCGTCTGATTCACGCCTGGAAAGTTCTGAAAATGGGCACATATTTTTGAACGATCGAAACATGTCGACTGTTTCATGCGCTCAATTTGTATAATTTTGTATTTGTTTATGATAATTTGCATCTTTTTGAAGATGCTGAAGTTTCTAATCAAGTAACGTCTTACCGCTTCATTTTCTTGGGATTATTTATTTAAAATTACTATTTTTATTCACCCAAAAGTGATTAAAACACATAGTTTAAAAATTTTGAAATATGATTCATAACAAGTGTTTTGTTTCTGAATAGCTATCATATTTTTGTGTAATTTAGCTTGATATGTCAGAAGGGGGGGGGTCGGAGGGTACGCCGGAGAGTGACACATTGTAAAAGGGGAGAAGGGGGATTGAAAATATTAAATAAAAGTGCGCAATCATTTATGGATGGTCCTTTATAGTAGAACTAGAAACTGGAAAAACTAGAAAACTAGAACTATAAAAACTAGAAACATAAATTTTTAAAATTACTAAATTTTTTAAAAATAACTCACAGAAGATGTGAAAGCTTTGTTTTGTATACCATTTGTATAATATAACAGCAAACACGCATACAAAAAGAAAAATTCAAACAAAAGTTGCATTTTTTAAAAATGTGTCTCGAATCCTTTTTAGTTATTACTTAGAACTGAACTATTCGATACATTATATTATATTATATTATATTATAATTTATTATATTATATTATATTATATTATATATATACGAGGGAAGATCAAATATAAATGAGACTTCTTTACTAAACAAATATTAAAATACTGTTTACAAGAAATGACTTTCTATTATGATCGATATTCCTTGTCTGCGGAATCAGTCTCCATTTTTGAGAAGTCTGTAAAATTCTCAAATGTGTCTGATGGTTTGTCGAGGTGCCGAGTCCGGGCTATATGGAGGATATTCAACTGTTTCCCAGTGTAATACTTGTAACTTTTGTTGCGTTATTGCGGTTTTATGAATTGTCGCAATTGCAAGAGAACATTGTGGATCGGCATGCCACGTCTTTTGGACTGGTGGGCTGCTTTGACTTTCTCTAAAAGTTCACAATAATAATTTGCATTAATTGTTCATCATTCATGAAGGAAATCAATGTACACAAAACTTCGTTAGTCCTAAGAAACATTTGTGAGTATTTTACCAGCAGATAACCAAGATTTTGCTTTGAATGGAGCAGATTCATTCAGTGGAGTAGTGGTGCAAGCAAGATTAATTTCAAATTTGCATACATGATTTGCCTATTTAAACCCTTGGCAGGGTATCATTGCCGAACTTTACCTGTAATCTGCGCAAAATTTTACTAGGTTAGGACATTTTCATTTGTTAAAAATTTAATCGATGTGCAACTGCATTAGGAACTTTACACTCACTCATTATTCAAGCTAGTAAAAAAAAAAAGATGTAAGCACTGTTAAATAAATTTCCATTGTTGCCATGACAACGAGAAAACTGTCTATTGCTATTAAAAAGTCTAATTTATATTTGATCCACTTGTGTATTATTATATATTACTTTAAATTACATAAAAGGCGTTTATTTGTCAAAAAAAAGTTTCCCTCAAATTAAAAAATACTTGAATTTAGCATTAATATTTTGATTTGAAATGCGGGATGTGACATACTAATGTAATATTTTATAAATGTTTTAGAAAATAAAACGTTATTGAATAAATCAAATAACAATCACAGGTTTCAAAAACTATTACTAGGAGAAAAAATCCTAATTCTCGGAACAAATCTTTAC